CACCCCCTGCCTTTGCTTGTGCTGTGTCTGAAGCATAGTTCTGTTCTGTGCAGATCCCTGAGTGTTACAGCTGATGTACATGCCCAGCTATCTTTGCTCTTCATCCAAGTGACAGGATGGAGCCCCGCTGAACAAGGTTGAGGCACTCAGTGGTTAAACTGAACCCTCCTCCTGGTAGAGTGGTTGTGTCTCTTTTTTTCCAGCCTATATTTGACCCCTTAACAAACATACCAGCTTAAATGCCTCTGAGTGGGAAAAGAAGCTGAAACACGCACATTTCGAATAGACTCAGCATCTGAATTGGATGGGCAGCTTGCTTTCTTTGTAAAGCAGCTATGGGAATGCCACAGTCCCGATATATCATAGTTTGGAGAAGTAGTTTGTTAAGAGGGGTATTTACACCCCCCTCCCATCCCAACTAAGGACATTGTTCACTTTAAACTTAGAATTTAGAATTTATGGCCATCAAAGTATTAGTCCACAGCCAAGCATCATGATTTTTTTAAGGAGGTAAAAATTTACCATAGGGCTTTTTAAACACTTAATGTAATTAACATTAAAAAAACAGATCATTATTTTCAACAAAAATGGACTACATTTGTAGTCTCCTCTTTTTATTCAGTATGTTCATTAAAAAAGTTTAATAGATTTAAAATTTTTGACATATTTGTTATCAATCCTTTTTGCTTTATTTTTATGTAAAGGATATTATTTACCACAAATACAGAAGCACAAATTAGATGGTCACTCGGGATTTCCTCTTTTTGCCTTTTGGAGCCCATGAAGGTGAGGCTTTGTGTTTTCTACAAGTTGATTACCAGGAAATGAAAGAAAGGCAGAACATAAGGGTGGCTGGTGCCTCGTTCCTGCTATGTGGGGAAAGGTCTTGTACCCTTCCTCTGAGCCCTCGGAACAAAAGCAAATCCTGTTGACCCCTCAGCTTAAAAAGTCAAGAAATATGCCAGCTTCTGATGAAGCAGGGTGAAAAGAGGACTGTGAAAATTAGCGACTGGAAATAGGAGCAGGTCCAGACAAATGTGTAGCAAGCCTGGTTATGGGCATTTCCCCGGAACCGCACGATTTTTTCCTTTTTAAATAGGGGCCGCTATTGTCGTTCAGAAAGCCCCAGGCTGTTCTGAAAACAGGCAAAAATCAATAGCCCACTTGTTGAGGATAAGTGAATTAGTCTGTGTTGAATGTAACCGAGCACCTGAACACTTGAGTGAGCAGGGCTTGTTGGGGAAAAAGGACAATTGGAAGGATTGTCTCGAGACGTCCACTGCGGTGCACATCGCTGGTTAATTATGTCCAATGATCGTTTCTGTGCAGGATGAAGGCGAAGACTCTGTTTTTGTTTTTGTCTATCTGTCTGTGACCTGGCGGAATGAATAGAGTTCCCCACTTCTCCAAACAGTCGAAGTGGTGGCAAATGGGCCACAGATGAGCAGGGAGAAAGGAATGAGAGAATGCAAATCAGATGAAAAGTTCCTTTTATTAATCAGTTAAAATATAAAATGATAAAATAGAAAATGCATGAAATAGGAATTTAATAAACTATTTTATTCTAAAATGTAGTAACAAATAAAATATTTAATAAACTGTAATAAATATGTTTTAAAAACTTACCATGTAAGTAGTTACAAGAATTCTGAGCCTAGTGAGTGTATAAATGAAATTCCCTCACAGTGTTTACCCCTCTTCCTTTGTTTCTGAGTTCAGATTTGTCAAGAGATTTGGAAGTCACAAACTTATCTTTGCATGTATCTGTGGCTTTGGAGAATTGTTTTAAATGTTTTTGTTGGCTATAGTGCTGAAATCTAGCAGGGGCTTGCACCTGAAGACAACCAAAGGGTCTTAGAATGTGAACTTTTGTCTTTGACCAGGAGGAATCTCTAAACAGACACCTTCCTGGGCATTCAGCTAGCACCAAAGGAGTGTCCAGTCTCTTTTTTTCTTTTCTTGGCTGTCTACACAAAAGGATTCAGGTCCCTTGAGAGAGAAATAGGAGGGGATTTGAGTGTGTTTGTTTTCGTCAAGAGCAATATGTTTTTTCCCCAGATGTTTCATTGGATTTTCATGCCCCCCCTCCCCCCATCACTTCTTTTCGGAACTATGGAATAGGGTTGGTTTGCCCACATACAATAGGCATGTGGCTTATTAAGGTGCGAGAGCTTATCAGGGACCTACATCAATATTAGAGGCTTGTAAAAATATTATAGTTTCTGAATTATGAAAAGAAAATTGCAAAGTCAAAATCTGTCAATGTAAAATTAAGTATCTACAAAACATAATATGCCACCAGTCAACTGCATCTCAGCTCACATGTCATATCTCAATCATGCTTCATGCAGGGATGGAATCATTTAGTGCCTTTCATACCATGTGTGGTGGTTTCCTCCAAGTAACAGAGGTCTACCTTGACCCTCCCACAGGGAACTTCCTGACAAATTTGAACTGAAATACCAGCACAATCTACAAAATTAAGAAAAAATTGTGAAGTTACATTCAGGGTGAGGATGCTGACACAGTCATGAGGTTAAGTTCCAAGGCTAGTGTCTTTGCAGAGAATAATGGGGGCTGTCCTATTTCCTTTTCTTCCTAAGCCCTTACCATTTATAAAACCAGATTGCAAATCTATTTGAGTCCCCTAAATGCTTGTGCTAAATAACCTCATAACCTTACTTCATGCTCTTGCCCCGGGCAAGTTGTCCTGAGTGGACAGGGCCTCAGCGAAGCTGCAGGTCTGCTGGGGCGCTTTTCGGATCTGCAGGGGAACTCGCACCTCCCTGCTCTCCCGAGGTTCAAGGGCTTCTCTGTGCAGAAATGCCCAGAAAGAGTTAAGTTAGGTAAGTTCATCAGACTTCTGCAGTCCCATACTGTGGAAGGGTCAAGTGCAGGGTCACCAGTACGCTACATCTTCCTGTCAGTTAGCGTCCACCCTTGGTTTCAAAGGGAACAGGCATAACTGACATGGCGGGACCTTTACGATTTCCAGCTGCTCATTTAGAGTACTCTGGACCCAGGGCAACTAAAGCAGGGGTCGCCTGCCCTCCAGGGGTTCCTGGGTTGAAGAGTATTTTCCCTAGCCTTTTTTTTTTTTTTTTAGCCTTTATAGAAGTGACAAATGGTCAGGTGGTCTTCAATTCAAGAACTAAGCACATGAATAGGCTGACCTCCGTAACTTTCTATATACTTGGAGTGATTTAACTACCAGCAATGAAATCACTCCCCCCCCTTTTTTTATGACAAATCACCTGGCATATTTGGGGAAGTATGTATGATTTCT